ATGTGTTCATTTGATGCACTTTGTTCATTTAATAGATTTTATTCATTACTCTGTTTTTGCTTCTTGGTGAAAATCTTCCTTCTCTCTCTTTTTACTTAAAAAATATTTTCCAAATGCCCACTCTGTGCCAGGGACTGCACACATGAGGAATGGTGCTCAGCCAGCCCCTTCCTTTTAGAACTTGCATCCCATTCCCAATCCTGGGCATATGAAATCAGTATGTTGAAGAGACAGCTGCACTCCCATGTTCATTGCATCATTGTTCATGACAGCCAGGATGTAGAATCCACTAAAGTGTCCACCAACTGATGAATAAAGAAAGAACAATGAGGTACATATCAACAATGGAATGCTATTCAGCCCTTAAAAAGCAGAAACTTCTATCACATCTGACAATGTGGGTAGAGGTGGAGGATATTGTTAAGTGAAATAAGCCAGACAAAGAAAGACAGACATCACACAGTCTCACTTGTATGTGGAATCTAAAAAAGTTGAACACGTAGTAGTGAGTAGACTGTTGGTACCAGGATCAGGGAAGGGAGGTGGTAGGAGATAGGTTGGTGAAAGCATACAAAATTTCAGTTTGATTGGAAGAATAAGTTCAAGAGAAATATTGTGTTCTGGCACTACGGTGACCACAGTTAATCACAATGTATTGTCGTTTTGAAAATTGCTGAGTAGATTTTAAGTGTTCTCACCACAAAAACAAAGACTGTGAGATAATTACATATATTAATTAGCTTAAATTTGCCATTCCACCATGTATACATGTTTCAAAACACCATGTCATACATGGTATAATTTTTATTAATGTAATTTTTATTCATTAATTAAATTTTTTTTAAAAGCTCACATTCCACACTCAGCCCAGGCATCTCCTCTGCTTAGAGCCTGTCTTCACCGTATCTTCTGGTGCCTCCACGACACACTCATGCTTTTTTCTTACCATGTTTATCATATATCTGTCCCCTCCCTGAGGTGAGGCAACAAAGTAAGCATATTTCAAGGAAATAAAAAACTTTTTCTTCCAGTTTTGTACAGAACTTTCTCATTAAATTTAGTTTTGCCTTTTTTTGACGACTACTCAAATTGAACAATTTTCAAATTTTTTACTGGGCCATTGCAGTTTTTTCCCATTTTCATTCCTTTTCAGGACCTGTGCTCAAATTTTTAATTGTATGATCATCTTTTTCTAATTGATTTCCAAGATCCCTTGATAGCAACGATATTGACCCTTTTTACATATTTTCTGAATTTAAGGTTCTTATTTACTTCTTGGTTTTTGTTTATAGTTCAGTGGTTCTTATTTTCAACATTGTGGTAGTCAAATCTGGACCATTTAGCTTTTTATAATCAGACATACTCAAAAAGAGAGTCAAAGGTAGCTTAGAAGTATGTATTCAATGCAAGGACAGGATTAAGTGAAAGCAGATAAGAAAATTAGGCAAAGAAAACAAATAATGGTAGGAAAGTAAGATGAGCCAGGAGTTGCCTTGATTTTATTTTATTTAAAAAAAGATGCCATTGAATGTTTGCACTCATTAAGAGTGGCTGTCTGCTCTCCTGTAGCACATGTTGACAAGTAAATCTAATGTACAAGATCAATAGTGGTGGTGCAAGGGAGAAACTGGGGACATACTTAGAAGATGCAATGATATTCCTAATTCTGATGCTAATCCGTCCCCTCCAAAAAAGGTTTTCCTCTGAATCCTTATGAGAACACACTGTAAATATAAACTGTATCTTTAGCACAGCCTACAGGGGAATGCAACACAGCTCACAGATCATTTCAAGAATTGCAGACTAATTTTTCAAGGATTTGTTCTTTGTTTTAACTTTGTGAAACAATATCCATTTCTGATTAATTAGTTTATAATAATCAGGGAGGCATGTAGCAAAGGAAGGATGTCAAAGAAAAGAATGTTTTGTATTGATCTTAAAAGCAGTTTTATTTTTATATGAAGGAAAACACTTCCCAGTGACCTTTTACTTAGAGCAATTTCACTGGTCAAAAATACTTTTCAGATATGTTTGGGGTAGCGTGGAAAAACACACCAAACAGCTATTTGTCAAGACTTCAAAGGCTGATACTTTGAACTGCTCAAAGTAAGTTGGTTGGTCAGTCCTGACACTGCATTCAGAATGAACACAATATACAACTAGTGTTGCTGCAACCCATGTAACCACAGAGTTCTGCTTGAGGTGCCAGAAGTCAAATTCAAAGCAGAAGGAAGAGATGATTCTACAGGAGTTGGGCATAATTGGAAAAACTGGTACATGTTTTTGGATTTCTGATTGAGGGAAAAATAATTTTTTGACATGATAATACTTTTAGCCAATTTGGGATTGTAATTTTTATAGAGTAATGGATTCATAAATTTAAAGAGACCAGAGAAGTTATTCAGTTTGTTTCCTCTATCACCAGTTTAAATCCCCTGTAAATTTTCTCCCTCATGAAACAACCAGTCTAAACTTGAATAGCAGAGTAGCATGATGTTTAAGAGAGCCAGCTCTGACATGCCACCCACATGAACTTGGGCAAGTTTCTTTTCTAAACTTCAGTTTTCTTGTTTGTAAGTTTGGTTCAGATAAAGTGCCTAGAACAGTGGCTGGCACACACTGGAAACTCAGTAGCACTTACCTCTTCTGATCACTAAATTCTTATACTATTACATATGCCTTCCAGGGAAAGTCATTTCTACCTGGAAAAAGCAGAGGGTTTTGTTTTTTAATTTAGTAATGGTAAGCGTTGTCTCCTGGTAATAACAGAATGACTTTTATAGAACTACCATGTGCCAATAACAATTTTGAACTCTGGGTCAAAAAACAGTACAAGTAATTATAAAATCAGACCTAAAATAATTGTTTAAGGCTGAATATTGATCATTACATTTTAAAAAATACATTTATTTTTTAGTTATAGTTGGACACAATACCTTTATTTATTTAATTTTATGTGGTACTGAGGATCATGAACCCAGGGCCTCACAAATGCTAGGGGAGCGCTCTAGTTCCGATCATTACTTTCTTAAAAGTGCTGAGAGAAAAAATAAATCAACCTAAAAGTCTAGATGACTTACACTCAGCTTACATTCAACCATATCACTGATTATATTAGGTATAAATGTACCAAAACTTCTAAATAAAAACAGAGATGTTATGTATTTTAAATAGAAGACACTGACATCTTGAAAATAAAAGGAAGAGGTATATTTTAAAACATGAATACTTCCAGAAATGAAATGAGACATTTTGTAATGGCGAAAGCATAAATTAAGACAAGATAATCTTAAGTGTGTTGGTCTAATGATAAAATATTATTTTCTAAACTTCTGTTCAGTAGTTCCCTTTAAGGAGATCTTTGCCTTGATTGGGACGATGCTTTGGTAAGTGTATTGGAGCAGGTGGTCTCTTGAGCCACAGATAATGGGATATTTTTGATAGTTCACAGAAGTAGGTAAAATGATTTGAGATAAGGAGATAGGGTTTCCAGACTTCCCAGTTTGTTCAGAACTGAGACATTTCTTTGAAAATGTAACTTACAGTGCAAAAACCAGGACTCCAAAAACTGGGACAGTTTCAGGCAAACCAAGACCGTTACTCATCCTGCAAAGAGAAGAATTCATTTGCCCTGGAAACAGAAGAATTAAAGAATAAAGAGAGAAGAAAACAGTGGCTATTGAATATCCAGGGGATGATAAGAGATTGTACAGTGGATGAAATGGCCCCTTTCAGTGATCTTTTGAACCTTAAGAAATATTACTAAACACATAAAAATGGTAGTTCTAAAGTATGTGTTTATGTTTGGGAAGCTAGTGATGAAGTAGAATGGGTTAAAAATAGACAGAATGCATCACTGAAGTGGTATTTGTGGGGCAAGGACAATGAGAATGTTATCTTTGGGGATTTGTAGAAATGTTGGTATGCTTTGGGACTGTCATAGGCTATGGAATAGAAGATTTGAGTCTAAGATGGTTTATTAAGGATGAAAAAGACTGAGATTATATCAGGACTTTGTATTAATTAAGATCTTTGGGTTTGGGATGATAGAAAACCTAACTCTGTCTTATACAATGAAGGGAATTTATATACTGAAATAACTAAAAAAAAAATCCAAAAGTAAGGTAGACTTCAGGTTTAATTCACTGCCTAGGTTCAGAGTCATATCTCCACAAGCCTCTCAGCAACCCTCTTCCTATGACATTTCACCTTCAAAGCAGGGTCCCTTCATAGTAGCAACAATGGGCACAGCAGTCCTAGGACTCACATTTTTATACAGCATCATGATTAGCAAACTTTTTCTGTAGAAGACAAGATAGAAAATACTTTGGGCTTTGCATCTGCATTGCTCATTTCATTATAGTGTGAAAGCAACCATGGGCAACATGCAAACAAAAAAAACATGACTGTGTTCTGGGAAGACTTCATCCATTTGCATATTTTAAAATTTATGTGTCATGAAATACTACTCTTTGGAATTTCCTCCAAAGCATTTAAAAAGTGTAAAGCCATTCTTAGCTCAAGGTCTGAACAGAATCAGGTGGTGAACCAGATTTGACCCACAAGCCATAGTTCGCTGACCCCTGACTTAAAGATTGTCTGACCAGAGTTAAAAAAAGAAAAACAAAACTCTCTCCTTCCTGGCATATTTTCTCTTTTCTCCACTCTCAAGACAACCCCATCCAGTGCCACTTACGTGCCAAAATCCTCAAAGTTTTATCTCTAACCCAGACTACACCCCTATCACCAGATTCCTTTGGCTGCCTGCCTCCTTGACATTTCAAGGTATAGTAGCATTTTGAACTTAACACAATCCTAACCTTCCAGGAATTCTGGCTTCCTTAAAAATGGGTCCAGCTCCCAACAACAGGCAGAGACATATTGTCATTCCCATGGAATTGACCCAATGCTGCAAAATGGTGTTTCACTGTTGCTTACATTTCTAACCTGTGTGTGGTGAGATGAGGAAGTAGTCTTATTATTCTTTTTTCCTCCTCTAGGGATGAATAAAACTGAGAAATCAATCAAAAGTGTGACATCAGATTGAAGAATTTTTAAACAGTATCTATGAGCCTTTGGAAATGTGGTGAGAAGAAATGATTATGATTCAATATACTGCTTCCACAGAAAGTTCCCATTCAGACTTGGATCTTACCCCATCTGATTACTTATGATGTATGCAGATACTCCAGATATTGTTTTGAGTTTTTGCTATTATTTACACTTTTGTAAGTTTCTTTAGTTTGCTTTTATTTTGTCCAACTAATCAATTTTCTTAGTGTATTGCTTCAACTTCCTGATTCTCTCCTGTGTTTTGAAAAGAATAAACATTTGACTAAATTAAAACTACATTCTGATAAATATGAGCATTTAGTCCTTAATTTTCTCAGTACATATTTTTTAAGCATTGCTGTATACTAGGCTCTGAAGACAAAAAGATCCATATGTCTGCCCAGCCCTTAAGATGCTCATAGAACGTGAAGGGCAACAGAAAATGTAAACTTACAATTCACAATACAACAGTGTAAATGTTAGAATGAAGCCTAAGAAATGTTTTAGGAAGAGAGGGAAATATCGAGGTTCAGAGAGGAGACATTGAAGTTTTTACATTAGGAAAAGAAAAAAAGTGAAGGAGGAAAAGAAGGTGAAAAGGAGAATCCCTAGTTCAAAATATCCATAGTTGAGTCACAAGACAATTACTTCCGGAAAGAAGTATTGAGAAGATGTATTGGGTAGATGAAATGCCTAATGAGACCATAAATGAGGAGAATTGCTTCTTATAGTGTATGAGAAGATAATTTTTATCAGATAATGAAATTGTTTTCAGTCTTCGGAATGAAAATGAATCCCTTGCTAATGCAGATCATGCTAATAAAGGGAGCGAGAGAGAATGTCGGAATTACACTTGGCTCGTGGTAGGCAGAAGCCAACCTAAATAGTCTAGGGGAAAAATGAAAGATAATGAAGTAATCAAAATAATTGCTTAATAGGGAATGTGAACGATCTGCAGTGTTAAATTATAAATGTACATTTTCAAGAAAAATGAGGTGACCTTAAGGAACAGATTAGAAACCCAAACTCGTGCCGGGTAGAAGCAAGGCTTTTCATTAGCAGAGCTTAAGATTAATTAAATCTGGGGAAGCTCTTTGAAATCCACAAGTGCAAATTACATTAGGATACAATACAACTGGTATATTGGTAACATAATTAATGATTAAAATAGAGCTCTTTATTAAATGTGTTCTGGAATAGTTCATGTGACAGATGAGGAATGAAGAGGACAAAAAGGTGTTACTTAAAATCAGAATCGACCTTAGCAGCACCTGCTTTCAAAAGTTTGTGTGTGGGGAGGTAGTTTAGTAGAAAAATACATGTAATGTTTGTTTCCCGCTTTGAGGTTGCCTAGAGACCCACCCCAAGCATGATGGGACATGTTGTGCCCCACCACCAACCTGTCTAGGGAGCTAGGAAGGCAGGTGGAGGGGAGCAGCGTCTCTATTATCCCACCTCTGAGTCTTTTGTTTCAGCTGAATAATCATGAGGCTGCTAGGAGAGAAAGGTTGAAACTCCAAAGCTGCTGACAGTTTTTTGTGCTGGAGAGTTGGAGAATATGGTCCATTGTTGACAGAATACATGAAGTATAGGTAAATGGAAGCCATGAGCAAGCAGGAGACAGTGGCCCAAACTGTTTTGCAGTCACAGAAAAGGGAAATTAATTTCTTGGAGAGACCATGAAAAGGAGACATGGGAAAAGGAAGAACACAGAGGGGAAGAGGGTGAGAAGCAACAGACATAAGACCCTTCCTCTGCCATACACTTGTCTCTCCTGATTGACAGACATAAGCGGGGGAAATCAAGAAAAAGTGTCCACATCTAGGGTGAGTCAGAGAAGAGACTGAGAAAAGATGATACATAACCTGAACTGATTCAGAACACAGGAGCTCTGAATATAAAAATGCTAAAAACCTTCCAGTCCCAGGATGTCAGAGTGACGCAGGGCATGTGTCAGCAGAAACCAACCTGCATGCTCTGGCAGGGAAGGGAAGGTGACAGGAATTCTGCTCTTCTAGATGAAATTACATCCATGTTTACTCTTCACTGAGCATGTAGCTCACCCACTATTGCATATTAAAACATGGTTTTTTTTTTTTTAAATTTTAGCTTGCTTAGCTGTTAATTTGTGGCAGTACGGTTTTAAATTTGAGTTTGGTTTATGCCATACAAACTTCAGACCATTTAGAGATGCTGCTTTCAGTTACATTTTAAAAATACCTGTGAATCCTACAGAACCAGTGCCTGTCTAGGGAGGTAGAAAGGCAAGTGGAGGGGAGCAGCTTCTCTATTATCCCATCTGAGTCTTTTGTTTCAGCTGAATGATTCCAGAGACTGGTAGAAGAGAAAGGTTGAAATTCCAAATTGCCTTATAGAAATACAACTTTGAAAAATTCAATTCCAAAAAATTCTTGCAGAAAACAGGAATAGCCACATATATAATTTTTAAATTTGTTTTTTTAAATAACTTTATTTTATTTATTTATATATGGTGCTGAGGATCGAACCCAGGGCTTTGCATGTGGGAGAGAAGTGCTCTACCGCTGAGCCATAACCACAGCCCCTAAATTATTTTTTTTTAATGAAACAAAAATTTATATTCTGACAACAGGGATAGAATTTGTACAGATGTTTCATTTGCTTAAATTATTTTTCTCATTATTCCCTTGTCCCTTGAATACTCCAAAAGATGTGGTTTATATCCTGGCAATTCACTCTAGCTGCTCCCTTTGGACAAGCTGTGTTGAGTCTCCCTTTCTTTCTGTGGGTATTTTCTTACCAGGATCCTCATATTGTTTTCCAGTTCCTCTCAATATATGAACAAGTCCCATTTGGGGAGTTGAGATTCACTTTCAAGTATTCTAAAACCCAATCTAGTATAAATCAGAATTTAGAAATTGCATCCAACTCAAAAGATTTTTCTCTCCCTCTCTTCCAAAGAAGCCTGTACCTTGCAGTGAGGAAAAGGACAAAGCCCATTTTCTCAGTTCTTATTTCATCCTGCCACATCTGAATTTCTCTGTGTGGTGGTTTATATGTGGTGTCCCCCAAAAGCTCTCATCAGACAATGCAAGAAGGTTCAGAGGAGTAATAATTAGGTTACAGCCTTAACCTAATCAGTGAATGGGTCCCTGATGGGATTAACTGAGTGGTAACTGGAGGGGGAGGGCTGGAGGAAGTGGTTCACTGGGTGGGGGCGTGGCTGTAGGGTATATATTTTGTATCTGCAGAGCGGAGTATCTCTCTGCTTTCTCTCTGCTTTCTGATCATCACGTGGGCTGCTTCCCTCTGCCACACTCTTCCGCCATGATGTTCTGCCTCATCTGGAGCCCTGAGGAATGGAGCGGGCCTTCTCTGGACTAAGATCTCTGACACTGTGAGCCCTCTAATAAACTTTTCCTCCCTTACAGTTGTTCTGGTGGGCTCCTTTAGTCACAGCAATGAAAAAGCAAACTAAAACACTCTGGCTTGTATTTGTGGAGCTCAGGAGGAAGACTGGTGAGATAATAAGGGTAGAAATCTCCTGTAACTCATGTCCTGATAACTTGCCTGTGTTCTCTGAGTGGCAGCTTCCAAAATGTGGATCCCTTAGATGCTCTCACACTGACTTCTGCCACACTCCCTGGCACTCACCAACCAATGGGAAACAAAAGCTAGTTGGGATCAGAACAATTGGATTCCACTCTTCTATTTCTCCTGTTCTGAAACACTGATTACCTGTACTGTCACCCTGAGAAGTCCTCAATACCCAACATTTTCTGAGAAAAAATGTGCTTCTTTGAGGCACATCATGAGGCTGAGGACAGTGCGGTAATACATTTGAAATTCTTTCTTGCTTCATTCAGTTTTATATTTTTTTTTCACACTTGCTTGCCCTTGGATTATATATGCCTGCCCCTTCCATAAAGAATCATCACTGATTTCTTGCCTTAGGCTTTGTTGTCTAGGAAACCTGAGCTAAGACAACTTTTAAACTAATACTGGATAGAGAAATAAGAAATTGCCTGGCAAGCATGGAGGATAATATTCTAGATGTAAAGAATTGTATACTTGGAGACCTAAGGCAAAATTAGAATTTAGCTTTTAATCTTAGTCTGTTCCGGCTGCTGTAACAAAATGCCATAAACTGGATGTCTTATAAATAACAGAAATTTATTGTTCACAGTTCTGGAGGTTGGGAAGTCCAAGATCAAGGCACTTGCAAATCAACATCTGGCAAAGGCCTCTTTCCTGGTTTTAGCTGTGTGGAAGGGACTTAGTATTCTCTGGAGTCTCTCTTTTTTTTTTTTTTTTAAGGATACTCTTTCCAATCGTGTGGCTTTATCCTCAATACCAAGTCACCTTCTAAGAGCCCCACTTCCTAGTACCATAATCATGGGGGTTAGGACTTCAACATAAGCACCTTAGGCAGACATAATCACTCAGTCCATTGCACTGGAGTTCTCAAGACATGGCTCCATTGGGGAACGAGCCTGGAGTGGTAGTGGAGGGTTTGTGAAAGAAGAGGCTAGACAGGTGCATCTTTTCACTAAGTATGCAGTTGGCCTCTGTAAGGAAGGGGGTAAAACCACAGAAGAATTTGAAGCCAAGGAATGACAAAGACAGACATGCAATTCAGACCACTCTGTCTGGAGTAGGGAGCTGGATTGAAAGTGAGCAGAAACAATGGAACAATCTTTGCACATGTTCACTAGGGTGTGATACTGGCATTCATTTTGTGATAGAATGAAAGTAGTTTATCATATATCATCAATATATTATATTAAAATACCATTATTAAAATTGGCCTTTTAATTAAATAGTCCAATTGTTTCTTATTACAACACAAGTATACTAATGCTCTTTAAAGTTACTATAGGAAAGGCCACAACGAAGGGCTAATTTTGATGTGTTGAGTAAAAATTATAGGATGATTCTGGGGATGTAGCTCTAGCTCAGTGGCAGAACTTGCCTAACTTGTGAGGCCCTGAGTTCAATCCGTAGTAAACAAGAAAGAAAAAAAGGAGAGAAATGAAATTATACAGTTACAGGGACTTTTTTTGTTGTTGTTGTTGTTTTTTGTTTGTTTGTTTTTTTAGACTAAGCTATTATCCTAGACCCTATCAGAGTAGACTAAAAATCAAAATGGAATCATTTGGGCTAAAGTTACCAAATCAGAGAAATGAGAGATAATAGCCAAATTTCCCATGTAGGCTAGTTTCAGTCAGCATAATAAGGAAGTTCACTCTGATTTATTTCTTTTACAAAAGAAGTGACCTAGAGCTGGCTCCCTGTCCCTTCCTTATAAGAAAAGTCACTTTGAAATGACC